ATACTACGCTAGAGAGACGTGCTAGATGGAGGCCGCCTCCGGGAGAGAGCCGCTGAAAGTCCCGATGGGAGTGCCTCGAGAGCTTAGATAGCCATAACAGAATTGCCGTTCGGGGGTAACCCTGTTGAGAGTGACCTCTAGAGAAATGCCATGTGAAGGGTGCCCTCGGGAGAGAGCTTCTGCAAGTACCTCTCGATGCTATATGGAGTGTGCTCTACTCAAAGTGCTATGATAGAAGCGCCCTGTGGAGGGCGCCTTAGAGAGCGTGACTTCTAGAAGTCCCTCTGAGAGTGCCTCGAGTGCCTAAGTAGCAAGGCATCGAGGTATTCATAGGTTGTGTAGTGCCATTACAATTACCAGTCCTCAATGTGGACCCACAAATCATTGATATTACCATTTTGGGCGTTCTGCACCATGTGTGGACAATTTTTGAATGATAGGGAAAGCTATAGACTACGCGGATGGCTTGGGGATATACTGGCTGAAGCACCAGAGAATGTCCAAATCATACTCCCAGATCATCCCAAGAAACAACTTTCAGTTAACCAAGTCAATCACCTGAGCCAAGGTACAACCACTCCACATCCCACGAGACTCGCTTCTCGCTAATAAATAGGGGACTGGGGTGCCTGTTCTCGTTCAGCTGCCTTTCGTCGCAACCGACACACCCACTTCTCTTCTTACGTCTGTGTGCACAAGAGGTTATTTCATTGTGTTCATCTGACAGGTGAATTACACCAGACATACTTGGGTCGCATGACGATGGTCCGAAATTCAGAACGAACCTATCGATTAGGCGTTGCGTTCTGTTCATGTCATCTTTGACACCATCTGCTCGTATCATTGCCAGGCTCAAGCGTAGAGGCTGGAATGAAACACTCCAAGCATAAATCTCGCGTGCACCACGCAGAACCCAAACGCATGGGCTGATCATTTATCATGGCACCCTCAAGATAGTCTTGTCCAATGAGCATAAGGCTATCGATCAAGGACGTTTTGACACTGACAGTTCGGACATGCGCATATGTGTTCTACAGACATACTGAAACTCCGGTTTAAGTTTCAATTGCATCAATTCTTCGGATCGCAACATGTCGCATCCGGGTATTCTCCTCCATCGCTCTAATGCCACCCGTCGCCAGCAGAACTCTCTGACAGCATGCTCTCAGCTGTCTAATGGCTACTTGCGCGCTGAGCCTACAATGTCACTGCAGCTAGAATGAGGGTGACGTTGCAAGCAATGCCGTTCTCCGTGGCTATTATGATGCCATTGGGATGTTACTAGGTAGTGCCGGTTCCAGTCACAAAGGAACCCTACGAATGTGTTGGCGTGGATGATCAACCACGTGTGTCACTGCATTCAACTGATTAAAGAATTAGATGTCTGAACAAGTTGAGGATTCTCCGGATATCGACGACTTGCTTCCATCCGTGTAGTCAGCGTCCTGGATACCGGATAATAATCAGAACGTCTTCTCGGAAACCGTCCATGGGTCTCACCTCGAGTTTTCCTACAATCCTGAGCAACACGGTGGATCGGGTTTCTTGAGCAGCGATGCGGACCATCGCAAGTATTGACCAGTCTGCGGTGAATAATGAGAGACTTCACGGCAAAGACTACCGACCTCAAACTTCATCATACCTATCTATGCATACTAGTCGCATTGGCAGCCACCATATGATCCATTGTCTCATGGCGGTGTAAAGCGGTGTTGGAGAATTTGATTGCCACTTTGTCGATTTGACTGAACGCACGCAGGGGGAATGCATGCATATGCACATTGTTGGTCTGATCAGCTCAACCAGGTCCAAGCAATCGTAGATTCAGACTTGATGGCCTCTTGCATGCTTTGTTCTCGAAACGCGGACGCCTTGGCTGGAATTCTTGTGTGAAGAGCATCACCGAGAGAAAAAGAAAATCTCGCACCTCAGAATGCCCCTCGAAACGGCTCAGCGTGGGCGCGAGATAACACTGGCCGCATAGTCTGTTACACAGTAGTGGTACTGGTACCATTTGGAGACTTCCTTTGAGCTTCTCGAATAGACCGAAATGCCAGGGGTAACAAATGACGAACCAGATTGGATGAGATGTCTAACGGAGATTGTGCTAGACTGCGCAGAGTGGTAAGGGTGCCTCGTGTGGGTAGCGCAGTGGGGGCATTCTCGGTTTCCGGCTTGTGGGATCCCGTCCGTGGAGGATACCAACCAGTGCCAAAGTTTATTTTTTGACGTTTCAACTGGAGGCAAACAATCTGCAAGTTGGACCGACAGTACGGATCTTGCTATGGCGAGCTGGTGCCGAGAGACCGTGGTTTTGGGCTCTGAACACAAGTACTCTCCCCTCTCTATCTGACACAAGCAAAGGTTTATCATACGTGGGACAAAAGAACTGCGTTGGAGAGGGCAAGATTGGTTGGTTGGATCGATCTCTGACCAGCAAGGCACGATGCCAGGCCTTAACATCTTTTTCTGTCGAAAGATAATTGGAACAGAGTGGTCTTAGATGGTCCTTGGATTGTCGAGATTGTTGTTGACTCTGGGTGTCTCCTCTGCTTTTTTGCTGTGGAAGCATTGTCGCCGGCTCTCGAAGTTGCCATCAGGACAGTATGCTCGAAGATGTCCCTCGGCTCGAGACGCAATTCGGTCAAAGTCGTTACTGTATCTGAGCTCAAGCCTCAGGAGATATTGGCGATGTCTCACCGTACATTTCCCACGCCTACGGAGTATGTGTTGTCGATAACGAGTCACGAAGCAGGCATGCAATTGGCCGAGGATCGCTTGGTAACAACTACCAGTATAAGCAAGTCTAGGATGATCAGCAATGTCCCCTCCATCGCCAACAAGCTACAGGACTCGTACCTACCAGTGCGACCCACCGAGGTGATTTTCCGATGTATCCACGCAAAAAGTGCTTCGGATGTGAGTTTGGGAGACGGTTTCGCGGGACGAGGTTAATTGTTCCTAGCTTGAGGCCTTGTGGTGACATGGTGGATCGGTTCCGAACTTGGCGGGCCCCACGACTTCAAACCTTGTGTGCAGTGGGCGATGATCAGGAGCTGCAAGCTGCAAGCTGCGCGGGACATGCAGGAACGTGATCTCGGACAAGACTTCCAACCACGCTGATCGATCGTGGGTGGGCGAAGGGCAAAACTTTGGACGCCACGGATTTGTACAGCATATTGAATCTGGCCCAGACTTTTTGGACTCCTGAAAAGGAACGATAGATAACGCGGCCCGTGACCTGAGTGATGCATCATGTCGCGGGGGTGGCCGTGGCGGTGGCAGACTGCACCTCGATCTTGAGGCGAGTGATTAAAGCCACGATTGGCAGGCAAACATTCCAATAAGAAATCCAGCGACAGCGCCGTGGTCAGCTGTCAAAATAGCTGGAAGCATCATTTCCCCCCGGTGTGACGCGGCAAGGACCGAGCAACCATTCCAGTCGCCGGCCCGCTCCAAGGTGCGCCTGTGCACATGGAAAAAGCCAGTGGCTGGGTGGCTCGGAGACCCGTTGGGTCCTCAGCAGCCCCTCAGATTTGGGGCAGCCAATCCAAAGTGTTTACTGTGATCATCCGCACAACATCCCACCTTCTCAAAGGCAAATTTCAGGTTTGGGAGGCACGGGAGGGGCTTCGATGTGGGCAAGGTGTGATGCACGGAATGGTGACAAGCGATTGTGAACACGACGTGACACGGAGTGGTCGAAACACGCGCCGTGTATCTTTGAGTGGCAATATCAAGACACGCTCTTGTCCTGTAGGCTCGAGGGTAGATTACTCACAAAGGATTGCCGTTAGAACGAATCCATTTGTGGTCAGGGGAGCTTGGAATGTGGCCTGGCCTCCTTGGGACATTTTCGGGAATGGTTCAAGCCATCAGGTATCAGGTGTTTCTGGTATGGAAGTTGTGCAAGCGAAGGTACTCGGTACGGTCGGTTGGTATCGACAAAGTGCTCCGCACTGGAGTTGGGGCGGTGGATGAAGGTCGCCAGGACAGCCCACATTGTTGCTACTTACGGAGTAGAGGCACAATTCCTAGAGCTCCGAGGCCCCGTCGGAAGCCCCAAGTCGTGGGTCCTGTTATGTCAGGAAGTGCCGGGTAGTCTCACTGAAAGTTGGAACCAGGTGGGTTTGGTGGGCTGGTGGGTTGGAGGTCAGTTGGAGGAAGGTGAGATGTAATTTTCAGGGGTTCCAGGGAAGAGGATGATGTGTTGATTGATGGCAAGCTCGGTAGCGAGAGAGGGGGAGAGGGACGGAGGGGCGAGACGAGGGGTGGTGGACTTGGTGGATTGGTGGTAGTGGTCAGTAGTGGTAGGACTTGAGGTTGAGGTGGTGGTGAAATTTCCCATGGTTGATGGGGGGTGGTGCGCCCAGTGCCATGGCAAGTGAGGCACTACTTTTAAGGTAGTCGCTACTGGCTGCGTGCGTATTGGCAGTGGCAGCTGAGGACCGAGGGGGCTTCCTTCCCCGTTGGCCGCCTTCCGCCCAGTTAGGTAGGTGCGTTGGCTGGCCTTGTGCCTGCCCTGTAAACCCCCGACTACCGAACTGCTCTAGACTCAAGCTGGGTGACCGAGGGGGGCTTTTGGTGGTTCTGGTGGCTCTGGTGGCTCTTTCCCAGTAAGTACGCTGGATTATGGCCGTTATTGAGGAAGGAGGACCGAAGGAGGGGAAAAGGAAAGGGATGCCTGGTTTGTTTTGTGTAGTTTCCGTGCCCACTACCCAGTACTATCGCTTTAACCCTAACGCCTAAATGGTCCACTGATCGGGGCACAAATCATCAGGTCCAGCGGCAGTAATTGCTATGCCGAGGGGGTCAATGGTACGCCGTTATTGGTACCTGGGGCATCATTTCCCTCTACCTAGGCAGGTTCGATACACACAGAAGCATAGGTAGGCACAGCATAGGACAATCCATCTCCCCTCCCTGTCTTTGTTCCCTCGCTCCCTCCCTGCCTCCTCCTCCACCACCTCCTCCCTCCTCCCTCCTCCCTCCCTCCATACCTTTTTTTTTCCCTCCTACACTATGTCTCTTCCTCCCTCCTTGACCCCTCCTTTTTTTGTTTTCTCACCTCATTGCCGCCACTTGTAAACTGTACCATTATCCCATCCCATCAATCATTTATCGCAATACATCTCTGTATCAGTATTTGTTGGCCCTCACTATTTGCTATTCGACTTGAGGGTCTCGACCAGTCAAGTGCTCGACGCAGTCTACCACGTGATCCACTCGAAGCCGTTCGCCAGCGAATCCGCGTTCCCAAACCTTGCATCTGCAGCAAAATCCCTTGGGCCCAACGTACTAACGGCTCATACCAAAAAACGACCTCTCTTCACTCTCGGTCCTTTTACTTTATCCTCCTTCAATCTTGCCTTACCTCGACTCCTTCACGGCATGCACACGGCGCATTCGATTTCTCTAAACCATCTCAATTCTGAGCTAGAGGCTTGCGCCTGGTTGGAGGATTAGTACCCTTTTTCTTTCTGCGCCCGGCAACCACCATTGGGCTGCGCAGCGACGATGCCTCAATCCGACAACGCCGTCAGCTCTGAACCTGCCAGCACCTCTGCCTCCTCCTCCACCCCGAAAAAGGCGGCCACTGTCCCCGAGAAAAAATACAAATGTCAATATTGTAATCGGGCCTTCAGTCGCAGTGAACATCGGAGTAGACATGAACGGTCGCGTAAGTCTGACATTCTTTTTTGCCCTTACCTGCGACGTGGGGTAGCCACCACCCAAACCCCGCCATCAATCATCAACCATCCATCATCCCCCTTCTTCCTCCATCCTCCTCCATTCTCAACTGACCTGTACCCCTCTTCTAGATACAAAGGAGCGGCCCTTCAAGTGCCAGAAATGTCGAAGCACCTTTGTCCGTCGAGATTTACTCCTTCGTCACGATCGCACCGTTCACGCAAAGGACGGTGGTGTGCCTCTTCAATCTGAGGGTAGAAAGAAGACAAACACCACGAACTCGTCCTCGGTTTCAACCCAAGGTCAAGGACCCTCGGCAAAGGTGTCGCCCTCAACGGCAACACCATCAAAGCCTACCATCAGTATCGACCCAGGCACGTTGGAGCAGATAGAGGCAAGCAGTGATGGTATGCTCGACCTTGAAACTGCCGCCATGTTGATGACAGATTTCCAACACAAAGCCGCCGCAGCAGTAAACGGTCATCTCCATAACGGCGAGGGTTCTATCCCCGACTATTCCCCCGATCGTAGTTCTCTCCTCGAGTCTTCCGACTATCTCACCGGCCCCAACAGCCTCCCCCACATGCCCTGGGACACCTTCATGCCTTCAGGTCCTTCCGAACCCAAAGCCCATTCCATGTCCAGCATGTCCTCACAGGATAACCTGTCACAGCCCCCGTTTGTTCACATGGGTTCCATTCAACCTCATCAGTCTCAGCTCCCACCTATCATGGAGCGTCAGAACTCCCTCAGTGCTCCGTCCTTCCCTTCCCTGGGCGACACCTTCCCAGGATCTGGAAGCCCGACTCCCAACGCCCTCTCCCCGTTTCCATCCATGACTGGACCCGTATCTCCCGTCAACTATCGCAAGTCACCTGGTCCAGCTCAACCCCTTTCCCTCCCTAAAGCTCCTCAGTTGAATAATGTGGCAGAGAGGGCAATGATTGCTAACCAGCTAGGCGGAGATTTCCTTCTACCTCAGCTCACAACCATCAACCTCTACCTCACAACCTATTTCAACCTCTTCCATCACCATCTCCCTTTTCTCCATCCAGTCTCATTTCGACCGGAGAGGGCTGAGCCGGCTCTTTTACTCGCCATCCTTTCCATCGGCGCCCTATACAATTTTGAGCAGGATACAGCCTACGCTCTGCACCATGGCTCCAAAAAGCTCGTCAATCAATTCTTACAGAACAAGGATAATTTCGACTCGAGAAAATGCCCATTGTGGACAATGCAGAGCACCCTTTTGAACATGGTTTTCGAAAGCTGGAGCGGTGGGTCGCAAGGCCTGGAATGGGCATGCTCCATCAAGAGTCTGCTCGCCAATGTAAGCCCCCTTTAGTAAGCACCGTCAGGTTCACGGTTTCTAATTTCTCTAGATGGTTGCCGGCAACAAGTATGAGCTCAAGCTTCGTGTCGATGCTCGTGGTCGAACACCACCAACACACGATCAATGGGTAACTGAAGAAGGCTGTCGCAGGACATACTTTGCAGTCTACATCTTCTTTGGTATGCTGACATTGACATACAACCACACTCCAGCCATCAGTTTCAACGAATTTGACTCGTTATCACTCCCTTCGTCTGAGTCTTTGTGGAATCTCGAGCCTACAGATGCGGATGCATGGCAAGATGTGTTTGCCGCATCTCCAACAATCACCGTTCGAGAAGCTCACGACAGCCTATTCCAAGGAGACGCTGCCCGTTACAGCGCATTTGCAACTCGCGTCATGATCAATGCCTTGTTTCTGGAAGTGTGGAATCTCAGACGGAGTTTCGAATCACTCCAAGACGTGGTTCTGGAATGGAAGATCCGCATTGCTCTGGAAACTTGGGAGCGTTCCCTGGATCTCTGTGAGCCGGAAACCATTTTCGTCCCACTCAGTACACCGCATAAGAGCCATCCGCTCATCTTCAACTCGATGGCCGTGTATCGTAACACCAAAGCTTTCCTCGAAGTCGATCTCAAAAACGTTCAAGAAGCCCTTCGGTATCACAACTCTTTTGAGATAGCGGCAGCGATGACTTTGTCGCGCGACAGCGTTAAGAGGACCAAGGAAATGATCAAGGTCATTGAGCAGTGCTATGAATGCATGGAAATCGTGGCCTTGCAGGGAATCAACTGGGTGACCAAGACCTCTTCGACCAACTGGAGCATTGAACATCCACTTTGTGGTCTTGAGCTCATCACAATTCTCAGTCTCTGGCTCTATCGCATTGAGCATGACGATCAAGAGGCGAGCGACGAAGAACTGGCCATGTACATGAAAGTCCGTGGCCTGTTTGATGATGACGCGGTCGATTCCAATGGATCACGTCTGAGTTCCACTGTTGCGCGAGTGTGGGGTTCGATGTTGGACGGTGTAGTTGTATGGGGGTAAGTCACAAATTTCTCATTCTATTCGACCAACGTGTTAACCATTCGCAGTATCTCCAAAACAATGGGAGAATCCTTCAAACTACACGCCCAAGCTCTCGTCGGGTACGTGGATGAGATGCCCGTCGATCCCGTCACCGGCATGCCACAAGTGACGGACCAACTCATGGTGATGGATGCTTCATATTAACATGGACGACATCATTTCTCATCTCGACTCTACTCTTCTTTGCACGGCGAACACGGCTTCTGTCAGATTTATATGGCGTTTCCTTTGTCCTCTTCTCTTCCAACATGTGCAACGATTCCGGGAATTGTTTGGCACACCGAGGTGCTCCAGTTGGACCCACCACATTCTACCATCGACACTCATCACCCGCCCGGGGCACCTTGGGCATCTGTGGCAATACACGATGCCACTAATCCGATCGCTCCCAAAGGCGACACGCCCACCATCTCGATTTCTCACGACCACATACAATCTAATTTTCTCACTTAATACCTTGTGCACTTACTCATACAAGAAGCTCTACCATTGACGACTTGATCGACCCGTCGATTGTTTGGTTACACTTTCCATACACGGACGAGGCATCGACTAATGACCATTCTCCGCCTCATTTTGACTTTTACTTTGTTGCAATGGCCGACGGTTGTTTTCTTTGTAGGAGGTTTAGGGCCTTCTGTGTATACTAGAATTGGCAGATCATTTGAAATTGCATGGATGGTTGGACCAGGGGAGCAGCGGGCTGCTTGTGCTGGCATTCAGGAGCATATCTAGACGAGTCTGTTGGCCGTAGCTGAGACGGAACGGTAGACGATATGCATCTTGGAATGGCATTCCCACAAAGCATCATCTGTGTATTTTTGAACTGGCCCACGTCGACACCTGTCATGTCTTGTATCCTTTTCGCATAATAAAAGCCATCTTTCACAATATTTGACCTTACAGTACCACCTCGTTTCTCTTTTTTTGGCCGAAGGGCACGCAATATAAATCTTACTTCCTACAAAGAATCTGCCCATGAGGAATTGCAATAAATGCATCCTCTTCCAATCCCCAAGCCTTCCACCCCTTCGATATCTGTTCAATCTCCTCTGCCGTAGCAAACCCCTCTCTGACAGCCGTTTGCAAAAACCCCGGCTGTAAAATACGACCCGACCAACTTTGAGAGAATTGACGTGCTCTTTCACCTGAATAACGCCAATGATCCCAAGAAGCCTCGATCTTGTCGGCATCGAATCCGGCTTCTCGTGCCCACACGTGACAATATCGTCCGGCATTGGGTTCTCCCCCGTTGGTTTTGGCGACTTGCTGATACAACTGTGCCCAGCGCGCGAGGTCCGCAGGTTCGGGGTACCATGCGAAGGTCTACGAGAGCGTGGTCAGCTTGAGGTACTCTTTGCTTTTCACAGGGGAAATGTAACGATGGGAGGTTTTGTCCGTATGAGGAGGAGGAAGAACCCCTCATCCTCACGAAGCGTCTGGAACAGTCCAGGGAAGGGATAGGATAGGATAGGATAGATATAATACGAACCTTATAATCCGCCTCTCTGGCCGCAACAATACCACCCGGTTTAACCACTCTCCTCATCTCCTTCAAAATCCCCACTGGATCTTTAACATGTTGAAGTACCTGATGACAAGTAACGACATCGAACGAATCGTCCGGAAATGACAATTGGTTTCCATCAATCTTCTCAAACGTCACGTTACTTACACCTCTGCTCTGCGCATACTCCGCTGCTTGCTTGAGGACTGATTCAACGGGGTCGCCTCCGACAACTCGTCCTTGAGGTACTAATTCAGCCAGATCGGCTGTGATGGTGCCGGGCCCACAGCCGAGGTCTAGAATTGTGTCTGTTGGTTTGATGTGTGGGATTAGGAATGCGGCTGAGTCCTGTGCTGTGCGTCGTGCGTGGTCTTCGACGACAGAGCGGTGGTGGCCGTGTGAATAGACGGCTTGTTCGGTTTTGGTTGACATTTTCTTGATCTACTGTATGTCCTGGTCGGTTGTTTGGTCTGTTGAGGTGTTCTGTTTCTTGCTTTAGTATTTGCCCTCGCCTACTTTGATTATTTCATATTCCAGAACCGCTGCTCCCGGTCAGCGATGTTCATACGAAGTATATACTAATGTCAGACCCTGGTTTCGGAGGCTTGGTCGGAGGCTTGTTCGGGCTTAGAAGAATTCCCCCGCAGTATAGCACGACTGATGTTGGAGCCGATATCGGAAGATGCCAAGCCTTGTGTATATTGTATACTTCGCAGCACGTCTATGTAGGGGGGACGCAGCCTTGCCAAGGCAGTGCGCGAAAAGGGGGGCAAATAAGAACTGTTATAGATGCTTAAGTGAACCGATGAAATCATCGAGACAGTTGCAGCGTGAGATGCCCGAGGCCGGCTGATATATCTGACACTAAAGTCCGGCCATGGCTACGCTTGAACCCAACAGCAGCTTTTGAAGGTACTCTTCAGGTTTCCTATGCCACAGAGGAATGGTTTCATGGTCCTGGACCACTATATCATCAAGGAATATGAGTCGACCAAGCTGCTATCATCCACTGGTGGGTTAGAACTTACGGCATTTAGGGTCTCAGAAATGCTGGATATCCCATCGAGGTCGGACTTACATGGTTGTCGAGAGTCTTTTCGTCGGGCTCGATCATAGCTCTAGCCAATGCACTGGGCGAAATAATTGCTGGTGGAACGCGAATGGGTTGCCATTCAACTTCCCTATCCACATCATAAGGGGCTTTAAAGCCTACTTTCCGACAAACCTAGTGCAATCCTGAGCTGGCGCCCGAGTTATCAGCTTGCAGAACGTCGTGAGAACCTAGCAACTGGGGCGACACGCAGGAAAGGATCCACATTACCCTCTCGAGATGAGACTGATACGGAGACTTGTCGGAAAAAGGGGCCGTAGGGGAGAGAAGCAAGTCACATACGCACCCTATCATATCACGTGCAAAGTCGAGCAACACGTGACGGTGTACTGCTTGCACTTGTTACTCCTGCCGCCCACAGGATATCACTGAAAGACGGCCAAAGCACATAGACTTGTCTTGTTGAGGTTCTTCTCCTGCTGGTGGGGCATCGTTGGTCGTACAGTCACCTCCCTGTCCTCAAAATGGGTACCCTTGCCCCCTCTTGGCGAGTTGAGACGTGGGAGGTGATATGCAGGGACTGGGGAGCCTTTTGTCTCTGTCTTGCGCCCATATGTATTCATCCCACGCTACTGCACTAGGAGTAAACGTGTCGCTCTGAGGGCGAGGCTCTGAGGAGGTGAAGAATATGGATCGACGAGTGACAGGAACCGCGAGGTGCTTTGACATCACTGGGAAACCATGCACACTCAGGCAAGGAGACGTTCAGTTGCAACTCCGGAGACAGATTCCGTGTGTCATTTTGGCATTGTAAGTCCCCCGCATTTCAGTCGTTATACATAACCAAATGACCTCAGAAACATAAAGCGAGGCACAATCGAGAGGATTGGTGTAAGTCAGTTGACTGACAGCGAGGTCGAGAGGTGCATTCCAGGCAGCAGGTGACAGGAATTTGGGAGAATGGGTGAGTTTGGAGAGGTCAGTCAGGTCAGTCAGGTCGGAGTCGGTGTGCAAGTTGTTGTACACATAACGCACAAGGCAGAAGGGAGATGTCGACGACGATCATCATAGCCAGGATGCGGCCTCAGGCTTGTCTCATTGTGGAAATGCAGGTGCTCACGTGGAGGAAGTCACAAAGTCACGAGTCTGCAGATGAAGGGAAGGTCCTTTGCATGCAGCGAGTGCAGAAAGGACTGACCTATCATTGCACCTTCCGCCGGGATCCAACTTTGTTGCCTCACTTGGCCCAAATAGGGCAGTTGCAGGCGAAATTGGCAGGCTCGACCCCTCGTTCCCTCGCAGCCTGGCTACAATGACACGCTTACCTGGCACGCCTGGGCATGCTGGGGATCTTTTGGTTGGAGTGAGAGACACAGACACACCTGGAGCCTACCGCCAACATCCGAGTCGAGCCCAGCAAAACGCAGCAAAGCATCTTTGGTCGAATCAATATTGCCACAACCATCAGTAGCGTGGGGCATTGTCCACTTCACGGTATCTGCCTCATGATTGGACTCTTTATGTAATTCATGTCCTTCTGACCAGTTGTGGCACCTACAATTAGAGACCGTAGGTTGAGACAGAGTTGATAAGCTTCGCCGTTCCTGCTGTATCCCAAGAGCGACTCAATTCCCACTCCTCCTTCCTCTTGCACTTGGACTTGGACTTCAGACTTGCTACAATACAACGACTACAACATCTACATCCTCCAAACTCGTCACTGGACCCCAAAGGCCAAACATATCATTATCCTCCCGGCCTAACCTCACCGGAAGAAACAAGACACAGAGACCTCTCCCGCTGCATATAGCATCATATTTGCAACCCAAATTGTACAAAGCCTGGCTTGAAGAACACCATCTCTGGTCTTCATCTGCTGAACGTACCCCAATCTTTCCAAATCATCATCCCAACAGCATCAAAGCTGATGTCGATTGATATACGTGCTTCTCTTTCGTCTCTCCGCTTTCCATCTCGGTACGCCACCGTGTCGAGAGCCCAGTTATCTTCAGTTCATACTGGAGATCTTACGAGACCAATTGATCGAGGTTAAACATTATTCAAACAGTAGGTGAACCAGCAATCGTTGACATTTGCACTAAACTCGACTTCAAGGTCCCCCGAACTATCCCAAAGATTAGAAGCTGCTAAATCCTTGACGGTCAATATGGCTCTTCCAAGCGTCGTCGTTCCAAACATACATGCCTCCACTGTGATTCTCGAGAAGACAGCCCCGATCGTCAGCACGATGCCCCCGGCAACTCTTCCAAACGGCGTTCGCGTCGTGGCTCCTCACGAATACAAGGAGGCTGCTGCTTGCTTGGCCGAGAGTTTTGCCTCGGACAAGATTGTCAGGTATTACGTGGACACTCCAGATCGAATGCACCTGAGTGAGGAAGAGCGCTTTGCTCTCCATCAAGCCGCCATGGAATACGTGACCTATGCACACTGTTTGCAAGGACTCGTGCTAACCATTGGCGATTTTGACTGCGTTGCTCTCTGGCTCCCACCGGGCAAGAACATCGATGACTGGTGGACCATGTTGAGGTCTGGCCTTTGGAGGTTGAATTATAAGCTCTCGAAAGAGGGTAAGATTCGATTCTTTGAAGAGTTCCTCCCTCTATTGGCCACGACTAAGCTAGAGGTCCTTGGTGAAAGAGACAACACCTCGTGGTACCTGAACTACGTAGGCACTAAACCAGCAGCGCGAGGCAAAGGCTATGCCCGTAAATTGATTGAACATGTCACCAATCAGGTAAGTCTGCCATGTCTAGTGGCACGATGGTAATAGGGAGTTGCTGATCTCGAATAGGCGGATATGCAAGGTTTACCTTGCTACCTGGAGAGCTCTCACGACATCAACATCATCATATATGGCAAGATGGGTTTCGAGCTCAAAAAGCAGATCTACCTCCAGCGAGTCGCCGGACAAGAACTGCGCATGGATGTCATGGTCAGGGAACCAGCCGCCTCCAAAACTGACAGCACCGAGATACTGTCTAAAGTCGAGTAGAGAGGACCGTGTTAGCCATGGTCATCTTGAAAGGAAGTCCGCCATGAAAGACTGGCAACATACTACCATGATTGAGGAGGATGAGTTGGGGACAATGTTGGAGGACAACAGGGGTTTCCCTTGTCTGTCGATTGAGATATTCAACATATACATTCATTTAGTGCAGGGAAACGCCATCTTAAAGAAACTACGTCTGGTGGTCGACGTCAGCGCTCGTTAAAACACAATAGAATCGACTTCCACACTTGAGTTGCACATGTTGACGCCGAGTTGGACCCTGTGATTGTGGTGGCACGAGTATGGGATCTTGGGGGCGTGATAATTAGGAATTGGGCCTCCCTAGCCTCCTTCGAGCCCTTCGGACCTCTTCTACTTAGGCGGGAAGTGCCCCCAATTCCCCCACAGCCTTCCCCAACCGGTCCACTTGCTGCCCTAACTGACAGGCGCAGTTTAACTCGGCGCGAGGCTGAGTAGCAGGTCAACGTCAGTGCAACTCGTCTTTGAAATCCATCAGGCTGCCTGCCTGTTGATTCCTTGTACTCGACCTCGACAACATTCAGCATTATCGCAAGCCAGATCAAAAGCATCAACTACTCATTCCATATTATTCCGTCCAACGTCGAGTCTTTGCACTCTTTCTCTTTCCATCTCAGCGTCCTATATCTGTCCTCTCAGCCCCTTCGTTCGACCCGCCTACACCCTACTCTCCTCTCCATCCCCCCCAGACGGTCGAATCCTGTACAGATTCACCCCCTCCGCCGTCGAAATGCAACCCATCGCGAAATGACGCCGCCTAATCGTCTTCCACCCTCACAAGTCTTCAAGCGAACCTTCTTTTGACCTCAATCAATCGTCCCCATGGCGAGCTACTCGACTCCTTCCTCCTCACCCCCACCCACTCCTTCCCGCCGGCGCCTGAAGTCTTGTGCCGCAAAATGTGAACGGGGATGCTGTGTCGTAGCGACATATTTCCCTCTAGCTTTTGTGTATAGCCTGACAACATGGGCCGTCTGGGTTCTGGCCACCATTGGATTTGGCGACACCGGGTCCAAAAACATTTGGTGGGCCATTCAAGCCATCTCATTCCTGGGTATTCTCTTCTATACCCTGGGCAACATCTCATACACCGTCGCCGTATTCACAGATCCCGGCTCTCCGATAAAGACCACCAAAGGGAAGAACCAGGCTAAATACTCGGTACTCCCGACCACCGAGAGCCAGTCCCACTTAACCAACGTTCAAGGCATCACCGTCTCGTCAACGGGAGCCCCCCGACATTGTAAAAAATGCCATACTCCAAAGCCAGATCGAACCCACCATTGTTCGACCTGTAAGCGATGTGTCTTGAAAATGGACCATCATTGCCCCTGGCTTGCCACATGTCTCGGCCTGCACAACTATAAAGCCTTTGTTCTCTTTCTCATATACACCTCCTTGTTTTCGTGGACCTGTTTCTTTAATTCGGCCTGGTGGATGTGGAAGGAATTATTTGAAAAGAGCGGTTATCTGGAGGAATACGCCCCCGTCAATGTCATTCTCTTGTCCGTCATCGCTGGTATCATTGGACTGGTATTAACAGGTTTTACCGGGTGGCACATATACCTTTGCATAAGAGGCCAGACTACGATCGAAAAGCTTGAAAAGACCAGGTATTTGAGTGGTGTTCGCAGTCGTGTCGAGCGAAATCGCCAGGAGCAGCAGCATTCGGTCCATCTACGAAGGGAATCAGAAGGCGTGGCCGAACGCCTGCAACGTGCCGGAGAGCATATCCTGGAATTCCATGCCAATGCCGTCCCTGGTGCCACCAGATACGAAGAAGGTGAAGAACACACCTCTCCGGTTCCTAGCCTCTACAAATCGACTCAAAACTACCCTCCTTATCCCCAGCACCCATCCGCCTATCCGGATGACACCCCTGCTGTCCGCGCACTGCGAAGGACATACTCCAACGTTGAAGCCGACAGAGAGCGTCAAAGATACAATGAATATCTCGACGATAGAGAGTCCGAAAAACTTCCCAATGCTTTTGATCTTGGTTGGCGCCGGAATCTCAATCACTTATTTGGGCCTAACCCCTTCTTATGGGCACTTCCCGTATGCAATACAACTGGGGATGGCTGGACGTGGGAGGCCAGTCAGACATGGATTGCTGCACAAGATGCCCTGAGCAGAGAAAGAGAGAGACGTCTAGCACAAGCCGAAAGCCATGACGTGATGGCTCATCAACATGGCTCAGGAATCCGAGGTGGTGGGGGCTTTCCAACCTATGAGCGGCAGCGCGATTACATTTCGGACGCTGACCGTCGTTATCGTTCTTATGACAGCACACACGATCAAGATCCAAACCTGTATTCCAACAGTGCCATGTCCATGCAGACGTACCCACAACAAGATCATTTCAATGCCGAACGAGCAGGATCTGAACGTGGCCGAAGACGTCAACGTCGCGACTTTGATGTTACCAACGATGGAGAAGTCGAAACATTTGAAGTCAGCAGCGATGATAGTGATGATTCTGATTCGGACGTGGCTTACAATAGTAGAAGCGATGCCGAAAGAGGCTGGAAAAGGCGGAATCGAGCACAACGGTTGAGATAGAATCCAGGTGTTTACGGCAGCACCGGTTTTCCCGAAATCGCAGACATTCGGTGGGAAGGCTGGATATGGAAGTGTGTTTGATATACCTTCGATTTGGATATGACATGGATCTGGATCCTGGACCAGGTCAAGTAACAACGACGAAACACTGTCGGGCTGCTGGACTATCCCCATGATATCATCATGACTTGACGAAGGTTAAAGGTTGTGGTTGACGATGTACCTATAAATGTACCTAGGCAGCTCTCGCCATTTCGGTGATTTGTAAACCTAAGACTTATCTATAACTCCGTGTCTCTAACTAACTGTCTTATCATTGCTTCGCACCGCATTCCAAGTGCCAACAATATATCTTTGTCATCATCGTCATCAACATACCTACCCCTATTCCCTTGTACCACTAGAGACGAAGTCGGCCTCTATCCCTCCAAGGCCAGATTTCATTCTCGCTGGAGATAGAAATCATCATGTCCAGCCGCTGAACGTCCCACGGAACCAAAAAATCCCGCTGGGTAGAAAATCCGCTTGAGGACCATGAAACACAGAGCAAGAAACACACCTGCAATGGCACGGTCGATCGTGATAGTTTGTTGTTCTCGACTACGGTCCTGATCACGCTGACCGATCCGTTGTAATGGCTGAGCGGTCGCAGCTGCCGCAGCTGACGTTGAGCCTACCATGGCCGACTGAATGGTGCCCGTGAGGCGGTTGTTGCTCGCATTGATGGTAGCGTTGGCTGCAGCTGCTGCACGTGGTGAAGAGTGTATGTTGGTGACACGTCGGTCATCGGTACTTGATATGCGTGTTGATGCGAGTTCGGAGTTGGTTAAGATTGCTTCAGCGGATGCTTGGGTTGCTTCCGCGGTTGGGGTCGTGATAATGGGGATTTCACTTGGTGGGGCGAGTGATGATGTCGATGAGCCGGAGCGCTTGTGGGTGTGGGTGTGGGTGTGGTGATCAATGTTGATTAATGGTTGGGGACGAGGTTTTGGTGACGGCGGAGTGACGGTCGGTAGGGGTTCTTGTTGTGTATTTGGTGATGATTGGGTTTTGGCCGTGGTGTTGGAGTTGATGGCGGCGGAGGCAGCACTCTTGTCTGAATCTGCCGGCTTCTGCTTGTTGACGTTGGGATCTCTCGCTTCCACCTTCATGCCGTCTGGCAATGCTTCGAGCGATAAACCCTCTTCTTCAACGTTGAGGCCAGCCGCACGACAGATACCCCACCACTCGCGCATGATTGTTTCATTACTGCGCTTGCATGCGTCGCATTTCCACGTGCGACTTTCTTTGGCCAGCCTCATCCTGACTTCCTGACTTGCTTCTAATCCTCCTATTTGACCCGAAGTCCCAGGTTCTGCCATGAATGAGCGCAAGGCAGTCAGGGCAGTACGGACTCCCCAAGCCGGCATCCATGTTTCTTCGTGGAATCCCGAGATACTGAGACAGATCTCTCGGTTGACCTCGAAGCGGCCGGAAGGGGTTAGGAAGCGGAAGTTAGGAGGTTTAAGTGGATATGTGGTTGGAAGTGTGATGCGGCCATGGAAAATACCGCCAGCATAAGGCGAGGGAGAGGGAGGGCCAAGGAGTGTGAAGTGCCATTCATGTAAGTTGGCATCTGACACGGGTGCGGCGAAGAAGGCTGGGTTTGGATTCGATGACGGCGAGGAGAGTTCGGCGGTTTCTTTGAGTAATCTTCGAATGGTGGGTGAAGGCGCCATAGTGGGACGAGTGATTGGGAGGAAGTCAAGGGAGTTGGTTGCTCAAGGATGGGATGTAATGGTGGGTAGAATGCTGCGATAGTGCCAGGTTCAGGACGAGGTGAGGACAAGGAAACAAAGAGTATTGCTGCAATCAGAGGGCCGTAGAAGTGATGTATATTGGTACGACGTTATCGCTGGAGGTCTAAGACTCTGTTCCATGGTGATATCTTTAGGAGTACAGCATTCTCGAGGTCAAAAATAGAAATGATAGCAGTAGTGATAGCCTTAAAGGGATGGTGCTTTGGGAACACAAGCATTCTTAAAGGTATGACGAGGCTGGCCTGAGAAGCCTCACGTGCCTCTATTGTGGTGATTGGATCTAACCTGATTTGGTGGAAGAGGGACTTAAAGCAGCGTGATGAATGTCACCCCAAACCCTCCAGGACTTTTCGGGCTGAACAACAGAAGATCGCGGTCTATCCAATATTGCAGACTGCCTTGCCATTTGGTGGGGTGAATGAATAGATCAAGTCAATCGTGAATTAAGATAGTCACTATTCCAAAAAGATGAAGCTGTAATGACAAGGCCAAACACATGTTTCCATCCTTCAACACTACCACGCGTCCACCAGATAAGACTCGAGCACCAAGCAGTAGTAGAAGACATGAACCGCAGTTTTCGGATTCTACATCTAAATTGCACCATAGGGGCGGTGGCGAGAGTTGGATTGACGATCCACGGCGAGTGTTGCGTATAGTAAAGTCGACAACGGCCACGCCTAATCAGGAAATGTAGATAGATGCCTTGCTCTCATCGACAGTGGTACATGCAACCCAGATATCAGAGGCTACAATCTTTCGAATATTGGACTTCGAACAATCGCGATGGAAGGATTCCCTCCGTTGACATCCAGTATATAGGAGTCATCAACAATTTGCCTTACAAGTGGCTCGACACGGAGACAGAAGGATTAACCATACAAGCAAACCCTGGCCGTGATTTGGGGCGATGTCGGTCCTTTTCAAATCAAATTTGACGTGAACCACTTTGGTCCAGACATCCTCGGGATTTCCCCCTTGCAGAACTCCTATAGTGTAACAAAAGTAGGGTGGCTGGAAGAATGATGGATACATTGAGAACGCGTCGAGGTGCTCGCGTGACGTCAGATCTGTTATTCTTGATCTGATAATATTAGATAAGATGTAGAATTATCAGATGCAGTCACAAGAGCGGCACAGGCAGCTGCCCGCATTGGGACATACTAGGGAAGAATTTTACGAGTCAAAGCGTAGAGCTCAGCATCATGAGATCATTTCCAATTCATCCTTTCTTTTAATTCCATCACGTTGATGTTCTTCATTGTGGTTTGGAGTTACATTTCGTTCAAGTTGTTGACAACGAGTGGACCTGGGTCAAGGGTTGCCTGGTACCTTGTCCACTCTTAATTGGCAGCGAGACAGTTGGCTTGGGCACTGGCACAACTGGTTGGTGGGTTAATTGAAAACGCGCCCACGCCTCACGTCCACAAACCCTCCGTCCTCCGCCCACACTTTAGCGCGTCTGGCGTGTTGTCCTGACATAAAGTCGTGTTGCTCTCCATCAACTTTCCATTATTCTCTCCCTCTACCTGCCACGACTCTTACTACAAACAACTTGGTCTTTGCCTTACTCTTTCTTGTCAAACTTGTCTCTGTTCTCCGCATCTCATTCTTCACAACCTGCACACAATGGCAGCCCAGATCACACCCTCCAAACAGGTATGTTTGCCACCCATGCATTTGTTCACATACTGGGATTGATCACTAATTCTACGATGTGCAGGCGGCCTCGAGTCTCGAGAACCTCAAGATGAAGGATAGTCCTCTCAAGAAACTCGACTTCGGTGTCGAAAACAAGGAAAACCTCCCTGCTACTGCCGACTCAATCACAACACCAGACCTCGAGATCCTGAAGAAGCCTGTTGAGGATGTCAAAGAAACTGCCGTGGTTCCCTCAGCACCCAAGACCATCAAAGAACTCGAGGCAGAGGAGCCAATTCTGAAGGAGAACCCTCATCGATTTGTCTTGTTCCCTCTGCAGTATCACGAGATTGTGAGTGCAAACGCGTCTTTCTTCCACCCCGCCCTGCTTCGACATACCTACCCTACATACAAACACCTACTCACTCATCTTCACAGTGGAACATGTACAAGCGAGCCGAAGCTTCTTTCTGGACTGCAGAAGAGGTCGACCTCTCCAAAGATCTTCACGACTGGCACAACCGCCTGAACGATGATGAGAGATATTTCATCTCCCATGTTCTGGCTTTCTTCGCTGCCTCTGATGGGATTGTGAACGAAAACCTGATCGAGAGATTCAGCGGTGAAGTTCAAATCCCAGAGGCTCGTTGCTTCTACGGGTAACTCTTGCATTCTCGTCATCTAGTACTATAGCTAACGCGTGTTCAGATTCCAAACAATGATCGAGGTTAGTCATGTGATACTGGTGGTCGATGCTTGACATTGATCATCTCCAACGTCTTCATTCATTTGCATCCTTACTAACTCGCATCTACAGAACATTCACTCCGAGATGTACAGTTTGCTCATCGACACATACATCAAGGACCCTAAGCAAAAGACCTACCTGTTCGACGCCATTGACACCATTCCCTGCATCCGCAAGAAGGCCGACTGGGCTTTGAAATGGATCGCAGATGATGCTTCGTCGTTTGGTCAGCGTCTGGTGGCATTCGCTGCTGTTGAGGGTATCTTCTTCTCTGGCTCATTCGCCGCCATCTTCTGGTTGAAGGCCAAGGGACTTATGCCTGGTTTGACCTTCTCCAACGAGTTGATCTCTCGAGACGAGGGCATGCACACCGACTTTGCCTGCTTATTACTTCAGCACCTTAACCACAAGCCAGACCCCAAGCTCATCGAAGCCATCATCACTGAGGCCGTTGCCATCGAGAAAGAATTCTTGACCGATGCTCTTCCCTGTGCTCTTCTTGGCATGAACGCCAAGCTGATGCAACAGTATATCGAGTTCGTCGCCGACCGTCTGCTCCTGGCCATGGGAAACAAGCGCGTCTACAACGCAACTAACCCCTTCAGCTTCATGGAGAACATCTCCCTTGCTGGCAAGACCAACTTCTTCGAGAAGCGAGTGGGTGACTATCAGAAGGCTGGTGTCATGTCTGGCACAAAGAAGGCCGATGACAAGACCAAGTCACCCACAGAGGAGAAGACACAGACAGACAGCAACGGCATCAACTTTGATGAGGATTTCTAGACGTGCGTGACTAGACTTGGGTTTTCCACAGCTGGCGCGTTTGACGATTTTCCCTTACTGATTGATTGATTACTTGGCGTTTTATGGGCATGGAAAACAGTAATGGACATGTCTTGATGGGTTTATTGTGGTTTATTGTTGACGTTGTTGTGTTGGATGTCGTCATCATCACCACCAGGGCCGGCACTCAATGTTGTTTATACCCCTTCGTACCATTCAATAGGTCACTCGACTCCAAGGAAGACTACACTGCATTGCATTGCATGGAAATCAAGGCAGAGAATTTGGGAGGGGTTCTTGGTCCTGACATAGGGATTTTGCTCATGGCAGGACCTTGGAATGCAAACAAGGGCTATTTTCCTCTTCACTCTTGTCTGCTGACTTGGCCTTCGGGTCAAGCAGGGAGTTTTGTATCACCACTCGAGAAAGCCATGATACATGGCGGTTTGTAGAACTCGATGAGAATAGACAAACTGGTGTATAGTTATTGGAAGTGTGAAACTCACTGCCGGTGCAAGTGATGCCTTTGGTCTTGAGGAATGTGATCAGCTACAGTGCAGTGTGTGAGAAGCAGGCTGTGTGCAATGGCAAAAGTCAGAAGAATGTCTGGATTCTCTTCTCTTCGCGAGCGTATAATTTGCTCGGTGTGGCCATCTGTAGTTCTAGATCTGTCATCTATAGCATCGTGATTTGCTTTTGCGCTGTCATGATCTCGACGCATGGCGCGAAGTGCGCCCCCATTCTTGATGAGCATTCGGCTGGTATGCCTCTCACACTCGACAATGAATCACGGCATCCAGCGTCCGTCCATCCATGCATCCATTGGAACAGACCTACATGGCGCAGGACACAGGCGATCTGTCTCATGAAAAGCCAGCTGGTCGACCTCATTTGACCCACATACCGCCCATGTGCGTCGACACTTTCGTGGCTCGTCGGTTGGTTCAGAGGCTCGTCCGGATGGTGAAAATATCCTCGAGGCCTATATGCTTCTTTTTCTCATTTCTTTCGCTCATTTTTTGCCCTTTTTCTTCTTTCCCTTTCCACCTCCACCTGCAGTCTGTGCCGCTGCCGGTGTGGCAGTCACCACCTTAGCTTCTGTCTCGACAACAGGGTCCAAATCCATTTTATCACCATCGTTCGCATTGATCGCGGGTGCAGCTGTGGGCAGGTCAATCAACTCGCCTTTTGCCAATCTTCCCAACCCAGCCAGCAGTCTGCCCACCTCGGCAGCCTTGTCAGTGCGATATTTCAAACAGATTCCTGACTCGGGATGGAAGGTCTTTAACGTCAATGTCGCGGAAGGATCGCGTTTAGGTTGCTGCTGCTGTGAGGTCGCTGTCGGCTGTGCCGATTCGCTTGCCGAGATATCTGAAGATTTTGACTTTGATGTCGACTGGGATTTTGATTTCTTAGGAAGTGAATATTTGGTGGTGATTCTGGTGGAGGGGTAGGCTTGGATGAGTTGTGAGGAGCGGTAGAGGTAGGTGTGGAGGTCGGAGAAGTAAGGCATCTTGACGATGCTCAGTCGAATGGACTGGGTGATTATGAGGGTATGGCCTGTGGTCAACAATGTTGGCGGTTTCTTTCTTGTAAATCTAGATTCGATTGCGGGGAGAAGTGAAGTTGGTGAGTGAGTGGATGTACCAAAGTTGCCAAATTCAATCTTCGCACGTGATTCAAGAGTGAGCAACCCTTGGCGCTGCCATGCGGAGATCTCAGTACCTTTCTCTCTACAACCTATCCAGATTATTACTCACATCACATACCCAAGCAACCGCTGGTTTTCCAATGAGTTTGTAATGGTAGAATACTCATTAGGGCCATGTCCTCGAACACCATGACACCTCGGCTGCGTTCATTTGTGTGTTCGCAAAGACGTTTGAAACTTCCATGTCCGCCTGGCCAGGTATCTTCTTGCCGTAACTTGACCTCATCATCTCATTTGCGGGCTCCTTCTACAAAGCAAAACAAGTATCTTCAATTAACCAACCGGACCCTTATCCGTCTCGCGGGCGTCGATGCAGCCAACTTCCTTCATAACATCATCCCCGCCAAAATCCTAGGGACCGGTAGCACCAGGCCTATCTACACTGCATTCCTTTCGGCACATGGCCGGATCCTCAATGACGTCTTCATCTATCCTCCAGCCGAGGCCAATGGAGAAGAATGGTACCTGGAAGTCGATTCAGAAAGTGCAGGCGAGTTGCTGAAACATCTTCGCAAGCACAAACTCCGAGCTAAATTCAAGCTCGAGAAGGTGGACTCCCAGGAGACAGGAGTTTTTTTCGCCTGGCCTGGTTGTGTCAAGGACCTGCAAGTGGATGGTCGTTTGAATGAAGCAGGACGGACTGGTGGAACAGACCCGAGACCTGGAATGGGTACCAGATGGCTGGACGTGCCAGGGTCGAAATCCGACTTCTTGACCCAATTAAAGGACACAGGATTCACCCAGACAAGCTTGCAAGATTACACTGTGCATCGAATGACCCATGGCTTTGCCGAAGGCCAGACGGAACTACCGACCGCCGGATCATTACCACAAGAAAGCAATATTGATTTCTTCGGAGGAATTGATTTCTTCAAAGGTTGTTATCTCGGCCAGGAACTCACCATCCGAACCCATCATACCGGTGTAGTTCGCAAGAGGATTCTGCCTGTTCAACTATACCAGCCCAACTCAAAGCCGCCAACGGATCAGGCTCTTCCTGAATATATACCAAATGAAGACCACTCGCTCCCGGTCCCGCCGCCCCAGTCCAACATCTCCAAGCTCAATGCGCGAGGTCGTGGCCGAAGCAGTGGGAAATATCTCTCCGGGGTGGGTAACATCGGACTCGCGCTATGCCGATTGGAGATGATGACCGATATCCAACTCACAGCCGAGCGAACGAATTATGATCCTGCTGGAGAATACCAGGTTCAATGGGAGATCTCAGGAGGGGAGGAGGGGCACGAAGCTGAAAAGAGAGAAGTTTTCGTCCGGCCGTTCGTGCCCAAATGGCTGCGAGATGGTGTTGAGCAGAGTCTACGGCGGAAGGAGAAAAAGGCGAAACCTAAGCCGGTGATGGAGGAGGAAGAGGAGGAAGGTGACGAGTATGAAGAGGTGGAGGAGGATGATAAATCCCCCCAGTCAGCTATGCATGTACGATAAATTGGAGACGATATATACCATACCACTTGTGTCAAACTACGATGAAACATTAATCCTCTTACACATAGGCCTTGAGTGCGTTCTAATGCTGACGTAGGGGGAGCATACCACAGTAAGGGTAGGCTCAGTGGGACTACATGAGACAAGGTTAGGCACTCAGGCTAAGGCTAGCAACACTGTAACCCCCCTACAAGACTACCTACTTGCTACTATTGGACCCTTCTCCAAGCCCAGACATGAAGCCCAGGGATTGATGAAAAGTAACAGTCTAATGATTAGTACAATACAATAAGAGCTGAACCTATCTGTGACAGTTAGCAGGCAGTACAACAAATCTAAAGAGTATAGGGGAGGGGAAGGTAGTACAATACAATAAGAGCCGAACCACTATCTATGACAATTAGCAGTACAACAAATCTAAGGAGGATAGGGGAAGGGGAAAGGGAGAAGGAGAGAATCTGAGGACCCGGCCAATATGAAAAAGATGAAAAAGATGAACCTAGAACGGTTGAGAAGCAAATCCCAGATGCCTTAAAGACGGCAGAGAGATTTGAAAAGGGTGTAAGGGAAAGGTATTGGCACTCCAACCACCCGCCCTACGGTGGCCGCAAGGTACACCGTAGGGCGCCTCAGTTTTTAAGACTTACCTGTGCGACTGTGTAGGTTTGGGAAATATGTTCGGAAGGGATATCGGTAGGGAGGGTAGGCCAAGGGCCACCAGGATAGGGAGAGGGAAGAGGACAGGCCAGCACCTAAGTAGGAGGGCCACAGAGTAGAAGTCTAGGCGGGCCAGCACCTAGGTAGGAGGGCCACAGAGTAGAAATCTAGGCGGGCCAGCACCTAAGTAGGAGGGCCACAGAGTAGGAAGTCTAG